TCTTCAGGATAAAATGTAATCCCTTTAGCTCAGCAGGCATGCGCAGGCTTCTGATATATTAACGTGCCCTGTAAACCTAATGGGCAACCCAAATATCTGCAGTTTCCCAAATCGCCATGTTGCTTCAAGCTTTCAGGGATTTTTTTTTTTTTTAATCTAGTGTCTCACCTGTATCACAACTTCATGTCATCTCCTCTTTATTTAGTTTTTTACGTCTTGTCATTTCACTGTCAAAACCTGTCCTCTCTTAAAGGGTCATCTTTCTAGAAAGTTTTCCTGCTTCCCGTCTCCAGAGCACTGCATTTCTGTATGGCAGTGCATACCACCAGTTGTATTACTGTTGGTTTGTCTGTCTCTTCCAGTCCCCGTGAAACCAGGGGCTGTAATTTGTCATAATAGTCTCTGACTAGGATATAACAGTCATTTAGTACATATTTATTGAGTTTTATAATCTGAGTAACGCTGTCAGGATGGGAATTTTTTGTAAGTGTTATGGGGAGGAATGGTTGACACATTCTGAAGGATGGAAGTAGGTTAGATTTGAAATGCTGAGTTCTGAACCACCAAACAAATAAAGGGCAGCTTCTTGGACAAAGGCTGTTGGAGGAAACATAAACCAAAGCAAAACAGCCAAGCAAATTAACTATTTTATAAGGACACACACACACACACACACACGCGTGTGCACAAACCCCCAAATTTTGAGGCAATAGAATGTAAACTGAGGTTGACAGGCAAAGACATAAGGTTGAAAGTGAAGGATGAACTCCAAATATGAAATCAGTTTTTTTTTTTTTCTAGTATAACAACAGCTCCAGGACTGGAATTAAGGAGCTGTTGAGGTTTTCTGAGGATAGGAAAAATCAAACAAGGTTGTATCATGAAACATCTTACATAGCAGTCTGAAAAGAGGGTCTACGTCCTTGGGCAATCACTGAAAAATTATGAATATAAGATGACAAAACCGCAGCTTTGAAAACAGTTCTGGCTATGTTGTGAAATCAGTACACAAGGGCTAAATGTGACTGAATATTAGGAGAATATTTAAATATTTTGATAATAATAAGAGGGGTGGCAGTCAGGCTGCAAGGATGAAAAGCATAGCATCCATCAGAAATTGGAAGGACCCTCGAGACATAATCAGATGTGGGAGAGGCATACACTGGTAAAAAAATAAATTTTAGTGCAATGAGATAGTTAAGGACCGATTACAGAAACATGGATGCACTGACCAGGTACTTTATTTCTTTGAGGATTAACTCCTTGTGTTTAGAGTATCTGAGTTATTCTTGTACAAAGGATACTAATTTACATGCTTTCTTTAAATAAAAAGAGATTTTCATTGGAAAAAGACAAAATCTTATACCTCAAATGTCCACAGGTGCCCCGCAGGTGTCAGGCAGCTGAGCAGAGCCGCAGACAGCTTAGGAAGCACAGCCAGCTCCGATGAAATATGTCTTCGGGGCCGACCCTGTATCAGAGATTTTTATCTGTGCTCTTTGATAGGCTACTCCTTCTCTAAAAATTATTTTTCCTTAGAAATACAAACAAAACTACATTCAAAGCACACAACTTTGCTTTTGGAAAACTAATTCAAGAAAATTGCACTTAAAAGTATTAAGAACATATTGCAATGACATTTTCTCCTGATTCTCCCTCAATGTTCCAACTCCATGATTTACTTGAAAAATAAAAAGTTTAAAGATCTGCAACCTCTTCACATACCAGTTTTCTAACCATATCAGTTGAAGCCACAATCTTCTGTGTTTAGATTTTTTTTAAAACAAGTTAGTACCACTGCGACAATATAAAATATGATCATTTGGTTTTAAATCACATGGAGCTTTGGAAGATCATATCAACATTGAAAAACACATAATTATCAAACAAAGCCATGCTTTTAATTATAATTAAGATGAAACAAACACCAATATCTGAGTGGAATAATCATTCTATTTATGCATTAGTTATTTTCTACTAGACACAAAATCCTGGAGGACATGGATATAACTTGTCTATGTAATTTCAGACTAATTGTCATTTAAGAAATAAAATGATTATGAATATGACATTTAAAAATATAACAATTACATAGAACCTACTATGCACAAAGGACCCACCCAGATACTTTACAAATATTAATTTATTTAATCTGCATTAAAAGAAAATCTTTTAAATGGATTTAACCTTTTTAACCTGGAAAGTCTGAATCATTTGCCCAAATCTTGCAGCTAAACAGTGATGGAGCCAGTAATTCGACCCAAATAGAGCCCTGTCAGAATCTTTGCTCCTACCCTGTAGTGCTTTCAAATATATGACTTTAAATTTTTTAAAAATATAAATTTTCTTATCAATGTATATTTTATGATACCAGTGAACTCATAATAGGTTTAAACACATTTTTAGTTTACTTGATTTGTGGCTTTAAGAAAATTTATTAATCTAATAGATTCTTAATTTCTCATGTATATAATCAGAATAACAGTTTGTACCTCAAAAGCCTATTATTAGTATTAAGAAACTAATTTGTATGAAAATATTAGAACATAGCTGGCACCCAGAATATGTTACTTGGTATGCCAAGGAGGATGATTTTAATTTCCCCCTCCCTCTTTCAAAAAGGTACATATTTGTACATTGTACATCATGTAAGTATTAGTAAAAGAAGATCAAATTCTATGCTTCATAAAATATTATTTTTAGCATTTCTTAAAGCTAGAATTCATTTATTAAGGCATTTTCTGGAATGCCAGATAAGCTTCAAACTCAATAGAGTTGCTTTCTGGGGAAATAATTTTTTTTCTGGAATCTGTTATGATTTAAACATCTAATATCAAATAATAAGATCTCCATCTTCTAATTAGGAAATCAAGTTGTATGTACTACACATATGAAAAAAAAAAGAGGACTAGACTGGCAACACAACAAATGACATTTATTTTCACCAAGAGGGGCTATATGAAATCCAAAGATTAGACCGACAATACACAAATGGCATTATGTTCACCAAGATCCTCCAACATTAACAGGCTCCATCAAATTTGATGGAGATCGTATCAATTGGTTCTTATCAGATTACATGTTATAATCACCTAAAGAGATGCATCAAAATACAGACCCCTTTCCACAGACATTATGATTTAATTGATTTGGGGTAGGGTCAGGCATCCTTTTTCATCTTTTTTTTCTTTCATTTTTAAAAAATCATTCTATGGATTCTAATTTAAAGCTGAAGTTGACAGTACTAGTTTAAGTTATCACCGGAAGCATCATGAGTTCCTTATTTTCATTTCACTTTTAAAAAATAAAATCTAACATGGGATTGTATTTTCAATGATGTTAACATTGAAAGAGTCTGGGAGGCTCATGGAGAACAGATATGCCAATTACACTAATATTTAGCTCCCTTTTTAATTGTTTAAAGCAAAGGCCACCTTTTTTTTCATCTGCCCTCTCCCCGAAGCACAAGAAAATGGGAAACTAAGACCATATTTATATGAACTTGGTTTTTCAACTCTAAACATCATGAAACAATACAACTCCCTCCAAGATTATTTGCATGTTTTCATGAATCGGATATAATGAAAATTTCATGTTTACTGTTCTCAGTGTGTTGGTGTGGTCAATAAACAATCTTAGAACATTTTACAATATGGTTAAATATTATTCTTATAGCTTTAGTTCCTAAAATTAACTGTAGGCTACAGACATTATTGAACCCAAACAAATCCCAGTTGAGGGTTGTTTCGGGCTGTTTAAAACAGAGTGCAAATGAATGTCAATCGAGAATACTGACAAACTGGAGGGTTTTGCAAATCTAATCATCTTAGCTCACATAATATTAGCATATGAAATCAGCAATTCCAACTTTTTAAAGCTGAGTTAACTCCTGAAGACATAGTAGGCTAACAAGTTACTATAAATCATACTTAATAAATCTCAAAGCATTAAAAGCATTCCTACTTTGATCTTAATGACAAACCAATTGGCTGTATTCTATAAAACATTTGTCCTCTATGATCATATCAGATCCTGAAACTTGGATATTCAGCTATTTAAAGATTAATTTCAGGAACTATGTGGTCAAACTTTGGTTTATTTTGAACATTTCACTTTAATTTAGCCAAATAATTTCAACAAATAGCCTTGAATAGATGGCTTTGCTCAGATTCACTATAGCCATAGGATGATGATGGTCTCCTAAAGACCTCTTTTTCTCATATTTGCTGTATAATATTAGATTAAAGCTTCCACATAGTACTTTTCTGTGGCAGATTCCTTTAGCAAAGCTGGCCTGATAGGTTACAAATCTAATTGGATTGCCGTTTTTTGACTTTGGTTTCCTTGGACATCAGGGAAAATGAATGTTTTGAGAAGAGGAATTAATTTGTTGAGGCATTTCATGATATCTTTCACCCAGGCTTGGAAAGAGCATCATGAAAAAGGACTCTTGGAAACTATGCACACAACAGATTTTTCCTAATAGGTGTGAAGAATGGCTGCTATGCATAAATGATTGTTGGAAAATAATTCTCTGTAGAGCATGACCAAATGAGCAACCCTTCAGTACTGTACTCATTTCTAAGACCTGGAACAACCTGGCATACCTTACAGATGTCCATATTATTTCCTCATTACTTACTAAACGCCTGTTAGGAAAAATCTACAACTTTGTCTCAGAATTGTTATACCCAATAAAATGGAGAATAAAAGTTTTGAGAGAAAATTCATATTAATAACATCATAAAAGTCACAAGAAATGAGAGAGCTCTTCAACACAAAACTGTAAGCTATACCACCTTCCAAGAACACCTATTTTTGTTTTTCTTTAATCAAGGTAATAGACCCCACAAGAGAACCTCTAAAATCACAAACTATAGTTTTGCAATAAAAAAAAAAACAAAACCCAAAGTATCTTGCACGCCTCCACCCTTAGCTATCCCTGGGACCCCCCCCCGCCCCCAGGCTTTAAGTCCCACTCGCCCCCAGACCCTCCTTACCAGGAATTCTCTCACTGAGCGTCTGGGCACAGCTCAGGGGAAGCAGGTGGCTCAGGAACTCAGGCTTCAGCACGCATCTTCCCGGGAGAAGATGCCAACCTCAGGGTGAGGTGCGGACGTGCGCACCTCTCCAACCCAGGAAGGTCAGCAAGCCGCAAGGTGCAGCCCACCCAGGGTCTGGGGGGCTGGCTTTCCTAGTTTAATGAGAGAGCAAACCGAGTTAGTCTCAAATACTCTCTCTTGCCTTCCCTCCCGATTTCCTAACACTTTAATTCTGCCTTAAGGGATGGGTTCAAAGCCCCAGGTTGCAAGCTAGGCTCTAAGGCAGAGTCCTTTCCCAGTGGCTCTCTTCCACCTCTCCAAAGCGCGGGAGGCTCACCTTAGCGGCGCCTGCCGCTGCTAGCCCCGCGATGAGGCTGTGCGCAAACTTCTCCCGACTTAAGTCCTTTTCGGTGCGCGCCACCCCCGCCCGTCTCCCCACGCGCGGCCGAGGGGGGGCGGCCGATCGCGGAGCCGGCCCCGCCCGGACCCTCCCTGCGCGTCAGCCCCTCAAGCCTGCAGAGGGAGGGGCGAGCAGCTGCTCCTCGCTCCTCCGGCCCCCGCGCCCCGGCCAGGAGAGGGGCTGCGCTCGCCGCTGCCGCTCCGCACCCTAAGAGTCCCCGACACCCCAGCGTGCGGAGCCCCGGGAAGCAGGAGAGGGACCCCAGTTAGACCTTTAGGGTGGGAGTGGGGAGGGGGCGACAGATTGAGCTGAAAGATTCGTAACCTGGTCCCTGGAGACAGCTTTCTGGGAGCCCAGTACCTTCCCCGGAGGATGCAAATTCCGGAGGGAGGTGAGTTTCCCAAAGAACCTTACCCCAGACAGAGTGGCACCCTGGCTTCAAGAGCGGTCACTCAGGGGACCGCACTTGGGAGCCGGCGGACTGCCGGTCCGTAGTGAGGCGAGGTAGTGAAGGTGGGGTGGGGGCTATGAGAAAAAAGCTGGTCCAGACCTGGGGTGCAGAGAAAGGAGCTGGAGGCAGGGTATAAGAACAGAGACCTTGGGGTCCAGCAAGCCCTGGGGGCCCTCTGGAGTTGGGCTTCTGTAGCCTAGGTGCAGGTTGGATTTGGGGGGCAGAGTTCTCCACTTTGGGGGTGCTGCTGGGCGCAGTATATTAGGGTGAGTGACAGAAGTGAAGATGGCTAGAGAAGATCAGAGTCTGAGGTGCCTGACTTGGTGTCCAGGATAATTACTCTTCTCCTAAAACCAGCGGGAGCCCGGGACAGTCTGATTCCAGGGAGGGCGCAACCGGGGCTGGCAGGCGCACTCTGGCAGGCAGGCAAGTTGGTTCCAAGGACGGGCTGCCCTCCACCTCTTTCAGTCCACAGTTGGGTGCAGTAAGACAGCACCGGACACTTTTCCCCCCTTAACTGTTCAAGAGATGATGGGCTAGGAAGGCAGCTACCTGTGTGGCCAGGGAACTTAAGGTGGCTGTACGCCGTCTAGGTTATTCACACCCCCCAGCAAAAGAAATAATAGGACGGGGGGGAAAAGCCAGCTGGCGACACAGAACACTTTCCTAGACATTCTGGGGTTAAGCACGGGGGGAGGGGGGAAGCTGCGGGTGACCGAGATGCAGGTGTCCTGTGAAAGGGGTTGGAACTCTGGCTTATTCATCCTTGAATCCCCTTGCCCCGGAAGATCAGGGACTGTGGGGGAAAGTGTGTGTGCCTCTGTCCTGCTTTGACCCCTAACCCCTCAGCCAAGAGAGATTATAGGGCCCCTAATTTGTGTCGTTGGGGATTTTCAGGGTCCCAGTGGAAGACAGAGTCCAGGGACAGATCAGCTCTCTGACCAGAAATTCCGGAAGGTTATCTTTCCAAGCTCTCTCCTCTGTATGCCCCCTCCCTTTCCCTGCCACCTTCAGTCTGGTGACCCAGAGGGCTGTATGTGACTCATCATGCATTCAAACCCTAAAGCACTGCCTACTGCAGGGGAAGAGTCCTTAGTCCCTCCATTCTCTGGATTTCTGTGGGAAGGGGGTTGTTAGCAGTAAGAAATGTGACAGGCAAAGGAGGCTGGGCATTAGAGTCAGAAGGAGGTTTGCAAAGAAATGCTTACACAGCCACATAAACAAAACTTGTATGTGAAACTTTCTATTTGTATAATTAGTATGTGCTCATATAAAAATTAAGACACCCTTTAATTCAGAATTTAGGTTCAAATCTTTACTCTGTGCTGGCACCTGTCCTGGGTTCAATTGCTGTCTGCTTTCCCTGTTACTGCTAACCACCTAACATCTGAAAGCTTCCTTTAGAAATTCTCTTTGAAATCTTCTTTGGGTAAAAACAGCACAGAATTATTAAAATTATTTACATATTCCAATAGCAAAAGTCAAGAATTTCCTTCTTTTGTAGCTCAAACCATTGAAATATCAATGAATTAGGGAGGTGATTGCTGAGAGGAAGGTGTGGCTGCCCTTGGCGTTGAGGGATTGAAAAAGTAGGGCTATTTTTTGTTGGGGGCAAATCCTTGTGCATCCTACCTTAATGGGAATGAGGACCTGTATTCTGATAGCAGATTGGATTTGCTTCTGTAAAGCCCCTGTGTTAAGCATGACTCAGACAAAATAAAGTCTAAAAATTAGCAAGAAAACATCATATATATTATAAAGCCTTAAACCATGTGTGGTATAAGCATAAGCAACCTAGACTAATTAAAGTGCTAATTGTGTTAGAAATAATCTTGGAGAGAACAAGAAGTCTCTGCTGCCAGGTTTCAGAGACAGTGACACAGCAGAAATGGGACCAGAGATGAGTCTCTCAAGTCACTCAAGGGGATTAAATAGACTTTGACTGTTACATAAATTTATTAATACTTAAATGGTTGTGCACCTGTTGGATGCACTTGGAATCACACAACCAAATTCATTGTTATTCTAATGCTTCCAAAATGTTTTCTTTGTGGACCCAGTAGGTCCCTGGAGGGCAGATGTTGATGTGGGCATGGTGGGCAAAGGAGGATTTGCATTGCTATTAGACATGTTGTGAGATCTGTTTCCCGGTCTTGAAATCAGTTTAGTAAAATAGTGTACAAAATAACAGAGTTCAGCATGTTTGACAAGCACAGATGTGAGTTCTTGAAACTTGTGTCTCATTTTTATATATGTATGTCTGTACTGTGCTGTAAAGGAAAATGCATATATTTCACAAGCAAAGGTAACTTCATATGCTTGATTTAGAATAAGCTACTCTTCAAATAGGTTATCACAGATCTGCAAATAAACCATCAAAGGAAACAAATTCGTTAAAGGAGTATTCAGAAAATAAGCATCTTAGAATTTGGCAATCCTACATTTTTGGTGTTTTCACTGATCAATTTCAACTTCAAATGTTCTGGCTTTGTGAGAAGTTTGCCACTTTCCTTGTATCTCTCTTTAAAAATTTTGTCCTTTAGTCTAGCTACTAGTTTGCAAGAGTCTTTTGTCAATTTTGTTTTTCGTGTTTAGAGACTGAAAAACTGCTTTAGATTAAAATTCCACCTCTGTCTTTAAAACTTCCAATTTTCATTGCTCAGAATGGAGTCCTGATATTACCTAGGGAAGTATTTAGGACCCTGAGGCTTTCTGCAGAATGTTTCCTCCTCGGCAAAGCAGGGTATGGACTTTATCACTTTAACACCATCAATGGCTCTAGAATCCAGTGGCTTTAAAATTTTAATTGCAGTTAGTGAAAGGAAAATTGTCTTTTATTAAAGACTATATCTGCCATAGCAGTCTTGATAAACATGTAATGCCAAAAAAGGCTGAGCTGTAGAAACTGGGGGAACAAATCTTTACTAGGTTGAACGGACAAGAGTTTGTTTTTTATTTTCATTTCTCTCTCTCTCTCTCTCTCTCTCTCTCTCTCTCTCTCTCTCTCTGTGTGTGTGTGTGTGTGTGTGTGTGTGTGTGTGTGTGTGTGTTTGACCCCTGGGGCTGGTCCTGGAGTGTCCACTAAGGTGGTAATGCTTTCTTTCACCTTCCAAAAGACCTTTCTCTCCACCCCACACGCTTTCCTTTCTTTTTCCCTCTTGCATATTCGTGCTTTTCCCTTTCAGGAGATTGCCTATGGGGATTTTTTTTTTTTTCTCTCTCTCTCTCTCTCTCTCTCTCTCTCTCTCTCTCTCTCTCTCCATGTGTGTGTGTGTGTGTGTGTGTGTACATATATGTATAGGCCAGAGGGTGATACTGGGTGCAGGACATAGGTTAACATAGGAGTCTTCCTCTATCACTCTCTACCTTATATTTTGGAGACAGGATCTCTCACTGAACAGAGAGCTTATCATTTTTGCTAGACTGGCTGGCCAGCAAGCCCCCAAGATCTGCCTGTGTCCATCTTCCAACACTTGGGTTACAGGCATAAGCTGCTGTCATACAGGTGCTGGAGATCTGAGCTCAAGTTCTTACCCTTGTGCAATAAGCACTTTACCCACTGAGCCATCTCCCCAGCCCTGGGTTTGTTGCCTTTTAAAAAGGTATCTGGAGAAAAAGTTTCTGGCCTCTCTGAAGAACCTGATCTGTAGCATTTGTAATTCCTAATCACAAAGCTTTCCTTACAGTGAAATACGTCCCAGTCCCTCATTCGCACATGTGACAATTTAATGCATATTTAATTCTACTTGGGTCACTGGGCTAATCTACCCTGGGGGACTCAGGGAGTATAATATGCAGACCCCACCCTCAGGAAGCCCACAATCTATATCAGGACAGGGGTCTCTTCCTTTTCAGCTCCGTCCACAGCAGCGGGTGATTATCATGTATGTAATTGCCCTTCAGATTTACAGACCTCAGGATGACAGGGAGAATAATAATTCACCTTGGTGAAAATTAAATGTTTTTCTTTGAAACAATTTGAACTTTGACCTGATAGATCATGCTTTTCTGGAAGGAAGTCTGCTTTGATTTTCAGCCTCTTTTTCTGAAATGGAGTCAGTGTATCTGTAACTCTTTCTGTCTTCGGCTCTAACAGTGAGCAACGCAGCTGTATTTCTCTAAAGAATGTGTCTCCTGACAGCAGAAAAAAAAAAAAAAAAAAAAACCCAAACCAACAACAAACAAATTCCACTTGAACTAGGAAGTGTCTTTCCTGACTGTACTTAATACAAACTTTACTGGGTTAACTGTTAACTTAGTGAATAAATAACTCAGATTAGGAGGGGATGGTGGGGTATACACCATTGAGTAGTAATGGAAACTAATTATTCCATCTCTGATAAAGTTGGGAACTACTCAGATACTTCCTGTTTTATAAAGTGAATTCCAGAGAGAGAAACCCAGAAGCCAGGGGAAGAACCCTGCAGAGTCAAATGTGTGAATCCATTATTTCAAAGAATAACAAATAATTGAGCATCGAAAGTTTATATCCGAGTGGATGGAGGCAAATAATAAGGAAAACAAGAAATAGTTCATTTCTGATACTGTCTGTCAGG